GGCCTCCGGAGGGGTGAGTGTGTGCAAGACAGGCCTGAGCAACGGAGAATTGGTTGGAAAGTGCTTGTCTAGGTCATGAGACCTCTGGCTCCTGGTCTTGAGCAGCTCTGTCCAGCACAAATCGAGCACGGGTCCCATGTGTGATTTTAATAACACTTCTTCTTAGTCCTCACCATCCAAAATATGATGATGTTAACATGCCATCAATATAAAAGCACGTACATGTTCTTTCTGTAATGATTTTATAAAAATTCTTTTTTATTTGAAAATCTCCCAAGTCCAGAATGGCTCACGCTGAAAGCCCCTTCAGTTGCCTGGGCACCCGGGGCTCATGGAGACCACAGCGGGCAGCACACAATGGAGGTGCAACAGCTGGGGATTAAGTCGAGGTCTCCACAGCCTATAGTTAGATCCCATCCACTGGGCGCTCCAGCACCTTACAGTGGCCTCCTGTCCGCCCTGCCCATCAGGAAATGGGGGCTTCTTCTCTGGGGGACTGCTCAGGCCAAGAAAACAATTAAACTAATAATGATGTTCGATGTGTCTCTCCCAAGAGCTTGTGAAACGGCCAAGGAATGACTTAATTGAGAAATGGTTGTCTTGCCTGCCCCACACAGGGCTCTCAGTCAGCATTTTAACACTCCCTAAAGAGGGGCAAACAGCTAAGGATCGGTAGCCAGTTTAGGAAAGCTCCTAACACAAAAAGACCAATAAGCAAAACCAAAATCCCCACCAGATGCAACCAATATAATGTGGGAAACAGAAGAAAGCATAAAAATGATGGCTGAAATCCTCAGACACTAAAGGGAGTATTCACTCTATGTAATAAAAGCAAGATATAAAGAAGAGGAACATTCAGAGAATGATGTCATTGCGTATACAATTAAGTAATTCGTCTAAGTGGCCAAATAGCCAAATAGCACAAGTTTCGCAAAGATAGAGCAGGAAAAATAATGTGCAGAAATTTGACCAAAGTGATAATGCAATAAAATGCCTCAAAGCAAAGAATCCAGAATCTGTGTTTCCAAATTGGATGGCATTCAAAATACCTAGTAAAATAGATGGGGTTGGGGGTGGGGGGTGGACAAAAGAGAGAGAGAGAGGAGGAAGCTCTCACATCAGACTTTTCAGATGACCAGAATAAAAGAGAGGGTTCACAAAACTTGCAGAATAGAAAATAGTATGTACAAGTGCAGGGAATTAGGATTTGCTACAAGGTAGAAAACAAAGCTTTCAGAATTCTAAGGGAAAACGCTCTTCTACTTTAGAATTTCATACCAGCTAAACTATCAAAGAACTATGAAATTATGATACCATTTTCCAGACATGAAATATTTCAAAAAGCTACCTTCCAGGAAAATATTGAAGCATATGTTTCACCTAGTGAAGCAGTAAATCAGAATGAAAAAAAAATCATAAGATTTAGGAAACAGGGAATCAAATGCCGAAGAGAGGCATAGAGAATTCCCACAATGATTAAGAAAACTTGACGATAATCCCATCTGAAAGGCCCAGAAAGCAGCATCAACAAATTAGGGTGAGAGAATAAGGACTATAGCAGTGCTACTTCCAAGGGAGCAACATGTGACCGAATGATTAAACAAAGCCAGCTTGAAATTATTAAGGCAAAACCTATAGCCCTGACCAAAAGTTTGGAGATAATGCAAATCTTTAGGTAGACTGAAAAAAACAAGCGAACAAACACAACTGAAGGGAGTTAACGGGAGAGAAAA